ATATTTTAAACCCTCCTATGCCTAGCACTCAGTAGTTCCTTAAATTACTGTTATACCCTGATCTGACCAGCCTAGAGATTCTCTTACGTAACTCCGGCTTCCACTGAAGTTTTAGGTGAGACAGCCTATGAGAAAATATTCACTGTATATATCAGTTAATTTAGTGTGTTAATATCTTCGAACCCAAGTTTGGAGCTTACAGTCATCCCAAATGAAACATATTGGTCAAGTAAAAACTGTCCTAACTGTCAATATTCCTTCTGTTTTCTAAAGAAATCAATAAGTGTTCATCTTAAGTTGATCTAGATACTATTTAAACTTTACTCAATTTTCCCATAATTTGCTCACAACTAGAGCATGAAGTACTTAATTATTCAACGATTTCTGTGTTATCGCTTCCTGTTATAGAATAATCAATAAATATACCCTTCTCTTATTCAATGAGTTACTGTCTAATTGACCTCGTTGACATCCAATGGAATAGAATATAACACTCGTATGGTACAAATAAGTGAAGCAACGTGGAATTTGATCGATTTCTGCCTAATCTCATAAAATTAACTAGATAATCAATAAAATGTAATGATAAACTCAAGTTCATTGGGGTAATTTCGTACAAATCATTTTCATGAATATCAAACAATTTAAGGTGATCAATATCAGTTAAACATTTATGTTGTTAAGCCAAGCATCAGAGATGAAAATATGAAGAGAAGTACAGAATAACTCTTCTTTCAGTTTCAGAAGTGTCGGCATTGGCTTTTGATTTGGAGGATGTTTTTATTCAAGAAGCAAATGAAAAATCGTTAGCATAATCATGTATACTTTCTCGTATTTCTCACAAATTACACATACATTTCAGAATATTGAATAATTTGAAATGTCACCTCAGAAAACGCACTCAGTGCAATCATAATGTCTGTTACCACATGTTAATAATTTTTTTTTCATGACTGGTGTTGTTGAATAAATTTTGAGAAGGCATTTATTTACTTATTACAATCAATAGGCTAAAGAAGTAGCATATCTGAACACTAACAAGTTAGATTTTAGGCAATGATATCTGCCTTTTGTAGATCATAGTAATGTTGAATTGTGCATGTGAAACAGCTTTTTCTATCAACATTTACGTCACAAAATACCACAAACAATCATATAATTCTTAGCAAGTTGAATAATACAGAACTGATGATTTGTGACTGTCATTCGATTCAAAAGCATTAGAGTTTCAAATGAACATTACATCTAGTCAAACAACTATAAATATTATTTCCACTTAGTAAATAAACGAATCATCTTATACAGCTGAACAAAAATAAATCCTATACATTCCTAAAAATTGAGTCCCGGAAGTTTAACCTAAGACCTACCAAATCTAGAATACGTGTTGAGTTCATTAAAGGTTTTATTGATAAAAATCATTACCCAAAAATTTACTGGAATTCCCTTAGAAGAAACTGAATTGTTCAGAATTTCCATAACATATGTTCTTGAAGGAATTACTTCTTGGCTTCTAGCTCTTCCGGAACTAGTTATGTTGGGCGTACAATGAGGCAGTTCTGTCATCGAATTTCTGTGTACCACACATCATGCTTGAGCAAGAGATAAATTAGAACAATAAAGAGCTCCATACTTGAACACCTAGTTGACATGGGACATCAAGTGAATACTAGAAAAGTTTTCAAAATTATTCATTACATCCCAATTAATTTACCACATCGATTACGCACTCGCTTACTTCACATAACAGAGACAATTGCAATCGATCTTTACAAACCTAAACTTTGTATTTGAAAGGGATTTGTTCGAGCACTTTCATTACCATAGCCGTCAACATGATGTAACTTCTAGTATTACTTTATACACCTCTTCCCCTTCTTGTCTCTATCAATGTTCATTTGTTTTCTTAGTATTACGTAATTATTAGTTGTTTATGACTGGAAACACCAAAAATCTTTCCGTTTACCTGAGAATAACTTGCTTCATATTACCAACTATAATTACCCTGTTGATTATTTGCATTTTTATTTCTAAAACTTATCATCTTCACGACTTACTTAGAATCCAATATCTATCACCAACTCCCCACCATATGTTTGGTATTTTGACTCAATTATAAAACTATATATTAGTGTAGAGCACAAGACGAAGAACTTATTGGAAAGGAATATATTCCTTCACTCAATCAATCTTTTTTCTAAGTGTTTCCTATGAGTTAATAAGTTGGGGTAATTTGTAATAAAGATTTTATTTGGTCTTCCATTTGATATGCCCGTCATCTGTACACTTGTGCAAATAGGTAAAAGAATAGATCGATGGACTGGTATCAGGATCACATCCAGCGGCATGACTCCCTAAGGATCCAAGGTAACATATTAAAAGTCAACAGATTGAAGTAAAAATCACAAAATTTAAAACAAAAAAGTGGAATTATCGATAATAGCAATCGCAAAAAAGGAAATCGAAGGGAAAAGCTGAAGATTATGAGATAGAAATGATGATGGTAAGACGTGGATGCAACTGTAATATATCACTGAAACTTCTTTAAAACATGGATTTCAGTTGTCTTGCTAGCTTCAATCAGGTGTGGGTAGTAGCACACATACGAACATAGGTATGTCACCGAGTATCACAATTGGACTGCAATAAATCTGCGTTTCTGTTGACTAGTAAACCTCCTTTTTTCCTCACTTATCACCATTGACCTAGGGTCCATTTCCCCTATCACTAGTCAGTAAAGCGTATCTGCAAGCATGAGAAAACTGATGCTCCCTCGGTGACTAGAGTCCATTTCACTCAATGCTGCACACAAGTACTCAGCCAATAAGCTATTTTGTCATTAATGACGCAGTTTCGAGTTATTGAAAGAGCAATTAATTTCCTCATTATTTAAAATAAGCCTCGTTGCACGGCTTCCTGCTGATTGACTCCCAATATCTAACACTTACATACAGTGCACTACAGTATTGCATCACTTCGCTTACCTGCCAGATTGGATAAACTTGATTGATATACTTTATTTAGCATTAAACACTTAGATCTGGACAGCTAGACCAGTTTCCTACTGCTGGCTGATTCGTATTTACTGTCGTTTGGTATGTTATCTTCCTTTTAGTGACTGACAATCGAAAAATGAAGAGCATTTTAATACACAAGCAAAATTTGACCACTGTAATAGATTGTAATTCTATTTCAGTCTGTTTATAGAATGAACTACATAATGGAACAGTGTTATTTACTGAATAATGTTGCCGACACAAGTTATTATCCAAAATCATATCAAAATGACTCATGATGCTCATCAATAATATCTGCGAAACAAATAACTATAGAATGAAATTGTTGGCAACATAGGGTCAAGCATACAAGAATATCCATGTACTGCTATTAGAGATTGGTCCTTTTTATTCGATGAGATGAACAACCGGGAAATACCATGTCTTGATATTTTCTGCATTCAGTTGTTCATTTGATACAACACACAATAGTCCAACCTTACTCACTAAATGACATTTCGAGGAGAATTTCCGGCCCATGATCATGACAAGATAACTGTATAACTTCCAAACTTTATTTTCACTGTTGAACAGTTCTTCATTCTATCATGTTAATTGTAGTTGAGGCTTTCAAATATCTGCATGGTGTGACGAATCATTTGTGTTACATAAGTTAGGTTTTTATTCAGTGGACAAACATCCCTCCACCTAGCTATGTTTAATTTTAGAACTGTCTCTATCTCATCCCATACTCTGAGTATGAATCAGTATTTGCGGAGAGATTGTCTAACTTTTCTGTGCATTACTTATTTCAGTAGGATCTGTCATCCTACATTTCACTAGATTTCTGTACTTTGATAACCTGACCAACCCCGATCGAATACTTTGACTTATGTGCTTTACCTTACAGGTATAACATGGTTTTGGTAGGTTGAGTTAGTCTGTTTATTTGGATCTACGTGTTCTTTTAAGCTCTATTTGAGTAATTCCGGGGATTGTTACGAATGGTATGCAAACTTTTCAATATCCCTTCTTAGTATGACAAAACCACAGAGGATTTGAATTCCCTTTTATCATTAATATTATTACTTTTTCTCTTAGGAGTCCTTACCAACATTTTAATAGACGCTGGAGGGGACTTGCTAAGTATAAATATCGCTTTGATATATTTGAGCTCCTTATTTAGATATTCTTGCTTGTTAGTCAAACTTCAAACCCATCTTGACTGACATAAGGTAAGGTGGTGGGAAATCTAAGTATGTACTCAACTTGGTTTCATACAAATACTAGTATTTAAACTTCCATTTCTGCTTTTTATGACTTCCTAATCCAGCATACATTATTCGTCTTCCTAGTTTTCTAATTCATAAGTGTATTGGATTGCATCTACTCATGAGTTTATGTGGGTGGATATACTCCGATTTCAATACAATAAATGTGTCATCCATCTATCTTGATTATACTTTTTGGGTGGATCGGAATGTTCTTAGTACCATTCGTTCCCATCTGTCTGTAAAGGCATCTGCTGCAATCGAAGATGTTGGCGATCACACTGCTCCATGTTTTTTTATATTTTGTCTTGAAATCTGAATAGTGCGGACGAATGACACAATTATTCCTCTAGTACGATTTCTTCAACCGACATCCTAGTTCTAATATTGAATTTATAGTCAATAGTGAGTTAATTTCTAACTGCCTCAAGTGTCATATTGGTTAAGTATATTTGGATAGATGATGAAAAAAAGTAACAAATTTGAAACTCATTTACAATCTTCTCAAAATTTCTAAAATTCGCTATTCTCATGTTTGAAAAGTTCAAAATTTTAGCCAGGAATATCGTAATACTGAAATTACAACTGGATTGTATGAAAAAGGAACCAAACCAGCAATACGTACTGCTTGTTACCACAGTTTTAGTAGTGTGTATGTGTGTGTGTTGTTAATACAATTATGATTTCTACTGAATTTCTACTTTTATCTATGTTTTGTTGTTTCATGAAATAGAATGTTGTCTTCCTCAGTCCTACATCACAATATCTTCGATTCTCAACATTTTTGGGTGATCCTTGTCCATATGAAGGTGGTGCAAGACCAGAGTTATCAGATTTACTGGTCAGATATAGAAATGCTAAATCCAATTCCACATATGATCCAACACAATTGGTAGGTTATGGAGATTGGTCTGATACAGAAATCTGTAAAAATCTATTGTCAACATTAACACTAGACGAAGACAGTGGAAGTACTTATCGTCCTGAAAATGAAAATATTGGTACAGAAGAAGATGAGTATACCGGAATAAAATGGGCCGGTGATAATCCTATACCATGTGAAATACCAGTACCTGATACTCAAGTCGTTTATGAGGTAAGTTTGAATTCTCTGTCAGTCATCTGTTGAGGAGGATAGGGAGGTCTTACTTAGATTGTATACAAATGTTTATGTTAGGTGGCTGTCAAAAAAATGACGATGACTAACCGTTAGCGCTCTGACTACTTACGGAAAAATTATCTTTAATGTACGTGTTTTGATCCGAATAGAAACCTCTTTCTAACTTGTTAACAGGTTACTTTCATGTAATGAAAATTGTAAAATTCAGCTCCCAGGATTTTCCTTCATATTATTGTAAGGTTTACATATCAAAATGTGTTTTTCCGAGATATTAGGTATGGCTGCTGCAAACGATGTTGTTAACAAGCTTCATCAATCATTATATGATCATTATTCCGCTTTCTTATGTTGGTAGGTAGCCCAGAGTTTAATTTTTGAATCCTTGAAGAATCGTAAATCTGCTGAAAATATTCACAGTCAGACTAGTTTACTCAAAAGATACGAGAATTTTACTCAATACCATATATCTAACTGAATACTCTTAATTCAGAATTAGTAAGTGAAGTTTCTAAAACTTTTCAAAAAAAAATAATAAGAATCATCCGGTAACAAAACAGGACCTGTAAAAAGGCCTTCAATCGTATCATTTTCTTTTCATTCCTGTTGTACAAGTGGCTAGAAATCATAGCATCTCATCACTTTAGGCTAATTTTTCCGCGTCAAGACATATCAGAGCTTGTGCCAAATCTTCTAAGGAGAAACTGCCTATTAACTTTAACAATATATTTCGGGATATTTTCACAGTTAACATTCACTGAATAGAAACTCCTTTTACTCGCCTGTTCATATTTGAACAAATCTGACTTCATTACCATCTTCTTAGAAACCTCATTTTAGTCAACATCTTGTTACCAGATGAAGCTAGTTATTATATGGGTAAACAGGTAGTTTTTCACTTCTTAACTTCACAAAGACGATAAACGACACATAAGAAGTCTGACTAAAATGACATTTCAGTAGTGAAGTTAATCGTGTACGGTAAATTTTCACCTATGAAAGTATTAAAATTAACACTTAACGCGGTTCTTAGTCAGATATATGGCTTCAAAATAGCCCTTCTGCATTTTCCATACATAAAAAGCTTTATTATAGGTTTACTGGTAAGAGAAAATGTCAGAAGAGCAATGATCCACGAACACTGATAACACTTTTCAAGTAAGAAATACATTGCGAATTAAAGGTGGGACATTTCAACGATAAATGGGTCAGTTAGAGCATTCTGCAGAAATCGATGAACTGAAATAGGTGTCTTTCTAAAGCAATATACTGATAACTTACTAGCGTTCACACACTGAAAATTGTCACGCTTTCCCGAGAAACAGTAGACTTCTCTATTCTTTGACACATATATAGGCATATTTTAAGGTAGTATCCACTACGGACTGACGTCATTTGGAGAACTGTGGGAAGCCTGGACAGCTGTTTCGTCCAAGTATGCGATTACTCAACAGTGCGCACCCACAACCCCATCGGGGATCGAACTCAGAGCCTTCAGGTTTCATGATGAGCGCGCTAACCATCAAACTACTAGATCAGAGTTTAATGGTCCAGATCTTTTTTTCTGCCAAGTCGTGATGTATGCCAACTATCCACGTATGTCTTCCAACTAGCTGACCCCACAGGTCATGGCTTCTCATTAGAACTTTGAGATATCCATCTCTAAGCATGTCACTACTGAGTGCTATATGGCAATGTAGTCCGGGGTTTATGAGGATTTTATTTTTTAGGTAGTACTCACCACTGACCGACATCAGTTGGTAGACCACTGAAAACTTAAGGGTCCTAAGTTCGATCCCTGGAGGGGTCATGGATACTTCTCCAAATGACATCAGTTCATGGTGATTAATACCTTGAAAATAAAATCCCCAAACTATATATATATATATATATATATATATATATATATATATATATATATATATATATTCGAGAATCAATACCCATCTGAATTTCGTTTCTTTCTCAAGGTTGAAGTTGCTACAAGAAATCGCTTTGAAAAATCTGAATGGTATAAAACATACTATCGACCAAATGCTGTAGTGTCTGCTGCTCTTTTCTGTTATCCCAAATGTTCATCCATTATATGTTGTAGTCAGTCTGGAGCTTTAATAACTTTTCTTATATTCCTGTGCTTAGTAATAAATAATCAGTTATAAACATTGAATGAATGACCAGTTCAAATGTTGGCATTTATTCTAATATATACAATCTTTTATGCATTCACTTTCTTTCTACTTTTAACGTTTCTTCTAATCTAGCATAACCTAGCATAATATTCGTTTCTACATAATGATGCACTTTTAAATACATTACATAAGTGATTTTCAATTCCATTTCTTTTCTAATGACATTTGTTTTACTTAACTATTTTGCAATACTCTTGCATTTCAACTGCACTGTAGTGTTTTAAACACAAACTTAACATGTGGGGAAGTGAGAAATAAGTTAGAAAATAATGAATTCAGAAAAGAAAATTATGTCAACCAATATTAACATCATTCAGAGAATCATTATTCAATATTTTGTGGTGTCTGTTATTTAGCTTCCTTGCAAGTTTTAATGTTGGTCAGCGGTAGCAAACATTTGCCGGATTTTTGACTATTTGACATTTGTTGTTCTAACTTTTTACTGTTTTCCCATCCAATTTTCCTTAAAATAGCATGAATTAAAATAGTGTACAATAATACTTTTTGGTAACAAATGCTACTACTAACTAGTAGTATAAGTAAAAACAGAAAAACATTAGCTTTGGGTAAATACTGTAATTTCTAATTTACTGCTGCTTCAAATAACCTTGAAAGATGTTACAGTTAGATTTATCCTCTCTTATATTGACATTGTTGTCGATAGTCCTTGTAAGGGATCATTTTTAAGGCTTTCTCTTTCTTTTGACGTTTTCGTGTCGTTTTTTAGAAAACGTTGGATAATGTTTTTTAAAAGCCTATCTGAAAGTGGTACCCATCATCATGAATTTTCCTCCACAAATAGATTATTCCAACGTGTTTCGGTTTTTTATATGTCATGCTGACCATTTCGAGTTGCATGTGGCAATGAAGTACAAAAAGATGTTGATATCTAACTCGATAGTACTGATTTGCTTTCCTACACTGTCTGTTGTTGTTTTGCTATTTATCACTGCTCTAAGTAGATCAACTGATTATATGTATGTCTGCAATGTTTTAGCATTTATTTCCAGGTTCAGGTTTGAAAGGGATACTAGTGGATAATTGATTCTAACTAGTCTTTTTCATTAATTACACTGCTCCCTGTTCATAAATTCTGTGATCATGAAAATTAGGAGCAGGTTAGCATCCGAGGGATACATCAGGAAATCACCCATGATTTTTATAGCTGGTAGCAATAAGAGGTTTTTGAAGTCTCTATATGTTGAAGTTTACATACGGACCGAAACGCAATAGTAGTTTTATCCACATAGATGAGGAGAAAGGTATAGTGAACTTCATTTGGTTTCTGTACTGCGATCGTGCAATTTTGCGACCTTTTGGAACTTTTATCTGAATGTCCAATATAGTATAGTTGCATTAACTGACCAATCAGTATATCTAATCCAGTCCTATAGGGGGATGATTATGGCCTTGATAGCTACATGGCAATATCCGTGTCTGCAGCACTGGCTGATAAGGGTCTGAATCCCACAGGGGACACAAATCCCCTTGAGGTTGTAAAAACACCTCACTTAAGAGTGCTAACAAGCATGATACCTACGTCAAGTAAGGCTTCCTGCTGATTGCCTTCAGTCATTTAACGCAGTATGGTAGATCAATGAGTCACGGTACATTCGAAAAATGCTTTAATAATTTGTATTCTTTCTAGTCCAAATGTTTATGAAAAGGAATCATATTCTTGTCAAGTTAAAGCAAAGCGGAAATATTTTCATTCAATCACTGGTTCTCATTTTCTAACTGTTTTTAACCTCAAGCCACCCCTACAATCACAATTATTTACATTTACTGGTCATGATATTTTTACAGTTACAAATTTTTTGACATAATATTAAAAGAATGGAGCTAAATGGAAGTCAACGACTTTGAACATATTACATATATCACCGTAGGTGAAGATTAATCATAAGGGATCTCAAAAAATGAGAGGAATAACAAGTTTCAGCATAAAGTTGTATAATATACCAAGACAATTTTCAAGATGAAAAGTGATCGAAGAAGTTATTGGAACAACATGAAGATAATAATAAGTGAGTAAAGATGGCTAACAATGAAAGTCTAAAGAAAAACCTAAGAAAACTAACCTTCAAGGTCCTTCCACAATCCCTGAGCCTTGCAATGATTGCTCCCATCAAATTATCTGGTTATACCTGTATTAAACAATCATCGTTTACACTTCAACGGACTGCTAATCTAAGCATATTATGTTGAATCTCGAATTTCTTTTTGACTTTGATTGATTATGATTTTGCTTCTTATTGACAAATGATGATGTCACCATATTGTCCCCAGAGTACAGAACTTTAACATGTGAGTTAATAAGATTTGTATTAAGTTGACCTCAAACATTTTTGAGGATCTGGAGTTATGATTTCAATTACCTTTTCTGTGCAGCTACATTCAGACTGCCCATCTTTGTCAACTAGCTACCTGCTTGAACCTTGGCCTACCAGTAAACTTCTTTGCTAGATAATAACAAATCCTTTCCTACTAGTTTACTTTAATCTTTAAAGTATGTTAGGTAAGCGCATCGCATTCTCTACAGGATTTTTAAAATGCTCTTAACTAGTGGTTTTTCAAGGTGATATCAGAACGAAGGGGAAAATGTCATGTTAGACGGAAATGGATTTTCTAAATGCACAAAAATACATTATATTTTCATTCCTCGGATACCTATTTCGAATAGGAAATTCTTCTACTGTCTGAATGAACCACTAGCATCAATAAACACCGGCTGCTAATCTGCCACCACTGGGCTGCTTAATATTATTGCTTTCAATGCTGTCATTATAAACATCATTCATATGTAATCATCATTTTGTTTAAATCTGTTAAAATACTACATGTTGAGAATGCCATACTGTATCAAACATGTTGTTTAAACAATATATCTGATACATAACGAATGAAGTAGTAAGTTCTTATCACACCCTGCTTTCTTTCGAAACCGTACTTATTAATACATCTATGAGTGACCTTCTAAAATTAATTCGTTACTTGACGTGGAACCATCATTCCAACTGAATACCTGTTAATTAAAGACGTTGTTTATCGACTGTATGAATCATCAGTTGTTGGAGACTGTTTTTGGGAGTTTAGGGCTTTTCACTGTTTCATTGCACTTCATCAACTTCGTATGTGTAGCGTAACTGTCATTTAAGTGGATGGTATTTTCTTATGACTGAAAGATGAAGTGATAATTTGCTACCTAACTTATATATCCAAGTGATCGTGTTACCATACTATCGACCCAGTCTCTTCATTTCTTATGTACTTAGTGAAAATTAATATTTCTCTCGTTCGCCTGTCGATGCTATGTTATTGATGGGATGGAGAAGAAGTGCTTTCATATTGTACGAATCTGCTGGATAAGGACAAATGACGTTCGCACACTTTCTAAGTTAAAACCTCCCCTGCATCTGCAGGAGTACATAGGCGGAAAACGATTGAAAGTTAGTCAGGTGTTATAAAATCTACGAAAGTTGTAAGTACACCTTGTTGTAAAGTTGTGAGAGACAGGTTCACTTTCAAAGACGCAAACAAAGCTTCCTATTTTGCAAACTGCAGATGGCTACGTAGAGGAATCTTCATCCGAAGGAGATGGAGAGGTATGATTCACTTATGTTGCCATTTGGGAAATTAAGAAAGAAACCACGGAATACGTTGACAATTCTATGGATGTGGACATCGTTCATGTACAGCTGAAGTGCACACCATCTGCATATTCATCGACGGACTTCCTGGAAAGTCAAATTACTCCTGCCACCAAGTAAGCATAAGCTCATCATGAAGGAAGACGACAGACAAGCGGAAATAAGAAATATAATAGATTTGTTAGATTCTAATAGCTACCCTGAGAATGTCATTCAAAAGATTCAAAAAAAAGCAGAAGGATCCAAGAGCGAAATCATATGATGATTCCCAGATTAGTACAGTATTTCCACCATTTCATCAAGGTAAAACTGAAGAGCTACAAAGGATTTTAAGAAAATACCAAATTAGAGCCTTCTACAAAACAACCAACTCTCTAAGAAATGCTTTAGTTCACATAAAAGACAGAATTCTTTTCGCATCCACACAGGATTGTGTCTACAAATTAGACAGTCTCTATAGTTGTGCTTATCATATTAGAAAAACATTCCACGAGATCCTCGTTCGTGTTAAAGAACATACAGGTTATGCAAAACGACTGCCAAACAATCAAGTAAGACTAGAGAATCTACAAATCAAATCGGTGATCGCTGTTCATGCCATCTGAAACAGACAAAAAATTTGTCTTGAAAGTATTAAAATTACTCAAAAATGTTTTTCAAACTACAAAGAAAAACGGACAGCTGAGGCATTTCATGTTATGTTGAATCCGAATACTCTCAACAGAAAGCAAGAGCTAACTATCCAATCAACTTAGATAGTATATCCGAAATAATGAGTTGCACACACTAGTCATAACTAAAGTGCATTAACACAAACAAACTGCATTCATCATCCATGTTATTTTTCTCACATCTTCAATCCCATTCACATTTGCGCACACATTCATATCTTCACCTTGAACTCATTGATGAAAAACCGATTACGATGACACTTATTCGCTTGTTATTATTATTATTATTATTATTATTATTATTATGTGTGAACAACGTCATCTGACTTGTCGCTATTTTACCACTAAAATGTACTCCAACCTGTGCAGATTTCATTTTATGATGAAGCGACTTCAATGAGACTGAGTGCCACCAGGAACTTATTTCTTTACCTCAGTATGGTTTCTGAAATATATTTCATTTATAATCAGTCTATCTAATACTCAACTTATTCAACTGTGTCAGATGAAATTTTGATCCTAAATTCTATAAAATGTCGAAATGCATTTGACAAATATGTAAGCCAAGCAGTTAAGTACTGAATAAGATTAAATTGCCAGGTTTTGGAGAGCGATGGGTGAAGTGTTTTTCGGTTTCAACAACGATGCGTAACTGATTTATACTCTGAAGTGCCGAACGAATGACGACAATATTCTAATAGACAACGACATTGGGAAATGTTTGAGCAAAATGGGAGCACCGAATATCGCTCAAAAGGACTTCCGAGTTGGTAAGTCCTACATCTCGAACCATCTGACATTCTGTGAAGACTGGGTGGTATAATGGAAACTCCGGGCTTCTAGTCAT